TATTATTTTTTGCCGATCAAGCTCAGTCTTACCAACATTTGAAACATCATTAAAAACACCTTGGATTCAGCATTCTATGCTTGGTTTTTACTTCAATTCCAACACTGACCTTTTTTTTTTCTCAATTGTCATTGAAAATTCGTTTTATTAATTTATCATTCATTAATTTGATGTTTCATAGAACAACATTTGTTGCTGATGAAACACGTTAAGCTGATGGTTAAAACAAAATACAAACAATGGTAAATACAATTTTTTTTATTGAATCAAGTAAAATTCATCCATTCAATAAAAAAGAATTTCATAGAATAAATATAAATAAACCACTAACAGATAATTGGATACTTGCAAATAGGTGTGAGCATTCGATCGAGTCGAGTCAAAATATTTTGAGTTATTCGAGTTGACAAGTCCTATTTTACAACTCGGAGTTAACTTGAATTTTTTTCGAGTCGAATCGAGAATTTTCAAGTTTGTGTTCAAATTTAATTATCAATATTTATAATATTATGATATTTTTTATTTCAATTTAAATGATTTTTTTATGATCATATATATATAGCAATACATTCATATGTGATTTTTGATAAAAAAAAAAGAGAAAATCGCCTCAGTGACCAAAAATGCCTTATAATATACGATTTTAACCAACTTTTTTTTGATTTGCCAAAATGACCAACAAAATCGCAACGCGATATCAAAACCGCAACGCGATTTAGAAAAGCGCAACGTTGAAAAGAAGATCGCAACACGATCTTCCAAGAATCGCAATGCGATTCATAAAATCGCAACGCGATTCATAAAATCGCAACGCGATTCAGAAAATCGCAACGCGATTCAGAAAATCGCAACGCGATCTTCCAAGAATCGCAACGCGATTCAGAAAATCGCAACGCGATCTTCCAAGAATCGCAACGCGATTAAGAAAATGAGTAAATTCTTTCAAAAGTTGTTGCATTTGTTTCTTTCTTAAGAATTTTCTCTAAAAAGATAGTATCCGCGCGGACGTGTCGAAGACACGTATTACCACGACCACGACCACGACCACGACCACGACCACGACCACGACCACGACCACGACCACGACCACGACCACGACCACGACCACGACCACGACCCGACCCGACCCGAGACGAGACGGCGGCGGCGGCGGCGCGCGAGAGTCCCCCTTGTTCTCTTTCACTCAACAAGTAAATGGGAAATCCAAGCCTTAAATACACTTCCCAATAGTGTTTCCAATACTATGTGGGATTGAGCATTACTCAACACTTCAAAGAAAATATAGCAATTTTTGTAGTATTTTCCCACTTAATCCATATCTAAAAATATTAAAACATTTTATTAAGAGAATTAAAAGAGTTGTAGATATCTACATTTCAATTCAAACTTATACATATAGTTTTAATATGATAAAATGTTTTAATATTTTTAAATATGGATTAAGCGGGAAACATGCTACAAAAATTGCTATATTTTCTTTGAAGTGTTGAGTAATGCTCAATCCCACATAGTATTGGAAACACTATTGGGAAGTGTATTTAAGGCTTGGATTTCCCATTTCCTTGTTGAGTGAAAGAGAACAAGGGGGACTCTCGCGCGCCGCCGCCGCCGCCGCCGTCTCGTCTCGGGTCGGGTCGTGGTCGTGGTCGTGGTCGTGGTCGTGGTCGTGGTCGTGGTCGTGGTCGTGGTCGTGGTCGTGGTCGTGGTCGTGGTCGTGGTCGTGGTCGTGGTCGTGGTCGTGGTCGTGGTAATACGTGTCTTCGACACGTCCGCGCGGATACTATCTTTTTAGAGAAAATTCTTAAGAAAGAAACAAATGCAACAACTTTTGAAAGAATTTACTCATTTTCTGAATCGCGTTGCGATTCTTGGAAGATCGCGTTGCGATTCTTGGAATCGCGTTGCGATTTTCTGAATCGCGTTGCGATTCTTGGAATCGCGTTGCGATTTTCTGAATCGCGTTGCGATTCTTGGAATCGCGTTGCGATTTTCTGAATCGCGTTGCGATTCTTGGAATCGCGTTGCGATTCTTGGAATCGCGTTGCGATTTTCTTAATCGCGTTGCGATTCTTGGAAGATCGCGTTGCGATTTTCTAAATCGCGTTGTGATTTTCTGAATCGCGTTGCGATTTTCTGAATCGCGTTGCGATTTTCTGAATCGCGTTGCGATTCTTGGAAGATCGCGTTGCGATTTTATGAATCGCATTGCGATTCTTGGAAGATCGCGTTGCGATCTTCTTTTCAACGTTGCGCTTTTCTAAATCGCGTTGCGGTTTTGATATCGCGTTGCGATTTTGTTGGTCATTTTGGCAAATCAAAAAAAAGTTGGTTAAAATCGTATATTATAAGGCATTTTTGGTCACTGAGGCGATTTTCTCTAAAAAAAAATACAATACATGTATATTTCTTTCATATGTGATATATATATATATATATCATACAAAATTGAGGGACTCGACTCAAACTTAAAAATTAATCCACTAATTACTAAAAATTTTGAGTTATTCAAGTTGTATTTTACAACTTGATTTGAACTTGAATTTTTTTAGTCGAGTCAAGTTTATGAAATTATAACTCGAAATCATTTCGAGTCGAGTCGAAAAAATTGATTTTTCGACTCAAGTCGAATTTTGTTCACCCCTACTTACAAATCTACCCTCATTTGACTTGGACCCCTCAAACATTAAAATCTCCCCTTATTTTTCTAGATAAACTACGTAAATAGTCCTTCACATATAAGATACTTTTAATTTTTTTTACAAAGGATACTTTTCAGTTAAATCACTTAGGTATATTTGTTTCTCTATAATTGATTTTTCAGATTGTTTGGTTCGTTGAAAACAAATGATGAATGTAATTTATTTTCTTGGTCAATAAAATTTCCTTCACATTTTCTGGAAAATGACTTATCATCTGATTTTTCTCATTTTATGAACTTTTCACTTTAAAACATAACACTCCAAATCATATTATTTTATGTATTTGTTATTAATATATTATTATTTCTCAAAACCCAAATAGATTTGTTGCTTACTGAAATTGTTACCCCCGTCAATACTCGAACCCTTAATGAGTACAAGGCAGAATTGAAAACCATTATCGACAAAGAAGAAACTTACTGGAGACAACGCTCTCGTATAGCTTGGCTGAAAGAAGGAGATCGTAACACCAAGTTCTTCCATGCACGCGCAAATGGTAGAAGGAAGAAAAACTTGATCAGAGGTATTGGAAATGAATATAATATTTGGGTAGACGGTCTTCAAAACATATTTAGGGTGGCTACATGCTTTTTTACCAACCTATATCGATCACATGGCAGCGTTTCAACGGAGGTGATCCTTGAACGCATCAAGACCACTATCACATCGGAGATTAACACAACCCTTGGTAAGGAATTCACAGTCAAGGATACAAGTACTGCTTTCCTTCAAATTAATCATTTTAAAGCACCAGGAATAGATGATCTTTCTGCAAATTTCTTTCGTAAATTCTGGTATTTGCTTGGCATTGATTTGTGAACTTGTGTCTTAATCTTCTTAGTGATGATATGGATTTGAGTATAGTTAATGAAACTGTAATTTTCCTGATACCAAAGATAGATAAGCCTAAAACCATGAGAAACTTTAGACCCTTAGGTCTTTGTACTACCATTTATAAGACGGTCCCAAAGGTTCTTGTAAATCGTCTCAAAAGCATTTTATCTTACTGTATCTCTAAAAATCAAAGCGTCTTTGTACCCGGAAGGCTTATTACGGATAATATCCTGATTGCACATGAGCTTGTTCATTGTATCAACAATTCAAAAAGTAGTAAAAGTGCCTTGGTCAAGCTCGGTACGGAGAAAGCCTTCGATAGAATGGAATAAGTGTTCATTCGACAAATCATATGCTTAAAATGGGATTCAATGTAAATTGGGGGGAACTTATTATGAATCGTATATGCACCATTTCTTATCGTATTCGCATGAATGGGAAGTTTTCCACTCCCTTTAACCTTGGACGGGGACTCCGTCAAGGAGATCCTCTTTATCCTTTCTTATTCCTCTTTTGGACACAGGGTCTTTCATCTCTGCTTCTCGCACAACAAATAGCTGGCCACATAATTGGAGTGAGAGCAAACCGAAGGAGCCCGAGAGTAAATCATTTTCTTTACGCAGAAGACTGTCTTCTCTTAATCAAAAGCTCAACCCATGATGCAAGTAAACTCAAAGACACCATTTTAATCTATGAAGAAGCCTCGGGTCAGAAAGTAAACTTTGAAAAATCCTGCATCTTCTTTAGTAAAGGCACGCAAGACCATCTTAAAGACCAAATTTCCAGCATTATTGGAGCCCACATCGCCCCCTCCCTTGGCAACTACCTTGGCGTCTCTCTCATGATCAGAAAAAATAAAACCAACGCATTTGATTTTCTCTAAGTTAGAGTCTCTAAAAGGGTTAGAAGCTGGACTAAAAACTTATTATCCTACGGAGGTCGAGAATTGTTCATCAAAGTCGTTGCTCCAGCAATCACCACTCATACCATGTCTTGTTACCTCATTCCCGATGGCATCCTCAATAACATCACCTCAACAATCCGATCTTTTTGGTGGTTAGGAAGGACGAACGAAAGGGGATAGGCCCACGTTGCATGGCAAAAAAATTGTTGCCCAACACGGAAAGAGGCATGAGTTACAGAGATCTCCACATTTTCAACAAAGCTCTAATTGGGAAACAAGTTTGTAGGATGCTACACCATATAAATACCCTCTGCTACAAAATCCTATAAGCAAAATATTTTCCAGAATGTGACATCCTAAATGCAAAGGTCTTAAAGCGAGGATCTTATGGATGGTCAAGTATCTACAAAACAAAAGAAGTCCTTAAGCATGGTTTCTTCTGGAGGATCGGAATCGAAAGCAAAGCTCAAGTCCATGTTGACTTCTGGGGTGGAACCTCAAAGATTGTTTTTGATAACTCTTATTCTGATAGTCCCCTTCATCCGATTGAGTGCTAAGAATTCATGATCCCTGGCCTGTCCGAGTGGGACTCCCTCAAAGTCTCACGTATTTTCTATCATGAAGACGCAATGAAGATTCTTAACTGTCCTATCGCTCTAGTTCATCACGATGTAAGGATTTGGAGCCATCACTCCTCAGTCATCTACTCAATAAAATATGCTTACCACTGGCTGCCAAACAGTCTAAACCTGGAGGAAGAACCTTCTAAGCTTTCGTGACAGCTCTTGTCCTCCCAAAGATTAAAGTCTTTGGCTGGCGTGTTTTTCATGAAGCTATTCCTGATGGTTCGAAACTTCAAGCTGCAAATCTAGATGACGGTATATGTAGATTACACGGTACTGCCGAAGAAATTTGTATCCATGCTCTCCGTGACTGCCCCCATATCAGAGAAGTTCTTGCCTTCACACATTGGGATAGTAGAATTCTCAACCCTTCTATTCTCTCCGGCAAAGATTGGCTTAACTATATTTTGGAGTTCACTGATAAGAATCACTTTGCTTTACTGCTTACCCTCCTTTGGAATATATGGAACAGAAGAAACAAGTTGAAGCATGAAGAAACCCATTTACCGCCTGAAGTGGTCCACGACTATGTTAAGCTCATCCTCTCCGACCTTAAATCAGCTTTAATCCAAAAACCAGCTCCAAAAGCTCCTAAAATAAATTGCTGGAAACGTCCACCGTACGGTAGTCTGAAGTTAAATATTTGTTGTGCTTGGTTTGAAACTTCGAGATTCGCGACCATCGGAATAATTGCCAGAGACCAATACGGCCTCGTAGTTGGTGGCTATACGAGACCATCACGGCCTTTTCTGAAGGTATTAACCTTGCCATTGAAAACAGATGAAAATCAGTCATCATTGAGGACGAAGCTCGTAGTATTGTTCAAAGGCTAACAAATACTAATCTTGACCGCTCAGTTATTGACCTTATGTTGGAAGAAACTAGGATTCTTCTTGCTTCACATCCGAATTTTCGAGTGAACTTCACTCGTTGTGAAACAAACAATGTTGCACATGCTTTAGCCCAATGGGCTGTTACGTGTCTTTCACCTTTATGATTTGTTTCGGATATTCTGAGTTGTATCTCAAATTTGGTGGTTTTAGATGCAATAAATAATTAATTGCGTTATCCTAAAAACATAATAACATTTTAATAAAATATTAATTACTAAAATATATTTATTAATAAATTTAATAATATAAATTATTTTTTTATATTATAATAAAATGATTTAATTACATTATAATAATATTCTAATAATTAATAATTTAACACTCTTATTTTAAAAAATAATTAATATAATTTATAATATTTTTATTTTAATAAAATACAAGATTATTAATATTTTATTTATAAAATTATAAAAACAATTTTTTAAAAATAATGTTAAACTAAATAATATTAAATAAATTGTTTTAATATTTTTAAAATAATAATAATAATAATGTTCTAATATATAATATTATTTATTGTATTCAATATTTAAAATAAATAATTTATAAAAAATTATCAATCAATTAAAAATGATTTACAAAACTTTGTCCAACCATCATAAAATGATTTCTAGAAATTATTTTCTAAACTTTATTTTCCGTGAAACAAGCGAACCCTTAGTTATATAAAATATAATATGATAATTATTGAAAGTTCTAAAATAAGTTTTTTGTAAAATAATTAATAATATATGACAAGACGATTAAACAAGCGAACCCTGGTGAGACCGTACATTAGATCCATACATTCGTAATATTAAGTTAGAGATACCAACCCGTGTATGTCCGTATTTAGTCGAGGTTGGATTCAGTTACATAGCAAGATACGAAGGGTACTGTAACCAAGAATCCAACCTGATTTCTGCATTGGTCGAGTGGTGGAGACCAGAGACACACACATTCCATCTTCCGCGCAGAGAGTGCACAATTACGCTGGAGGATGTTTTCATGCATTTGAGGCTTCTGGTAGATGGAGATGTGTTCTCTGGGGTGGCGCACGGTGACTGCATTCATATTGCCAGGATTATCTTGGAGGTGTCCCGCCTAATTTCAACGGTGGTTGGATTCCGTTAAATTGGTTGGATGCAACTTTCAAGCATTTGGGTCGCAACGCCTCGGAGAAGTAGGTTAAAATGTGTGCACGGGCTTGCATACTACAGCTGATAGGAGGGCTTCTGATGTCGGACAAATCGCGCAACCAAGTTCACTGTATGTGGTTGCGTCACCTCGCCGATTTTCATCAGGCCGGTACACTGAGTTGGGGCTCGACAGTTTTGACATTTCTCTATAAGGAAATGTGTCGAGCTACTGACTATAGAAAAAATGCTATCGTCGGATGTCTCATTCTGTTGCAGTCTTGGGCGTGGCATCACATGCTCTTTTTATGTCCAGTGGTGAAAAACCTGTAGGTCTTTCCTCTATTATTGAGGTAATGACAATGTTGATTTCGTATATTAATAATTTTATTTAGTATATAATAAAAATTATTTCATTGAATATATGGTCCACTGCAAGAAAATATCATCGAGATTTACCTGATGAATTAGAAGAAATTAGGCTACTCATTGATCAGAAGGCTGACACAGAGGTATGTATTTAAATAACAAAATATACTTTTAATTATCGTTATATAATTAAATTATTATTTTGATAAGAATTATATATATTTATTTTAGTTTGAATGGGCTCCTTATTGTACTGAAGAGATGAGAATTTGCATCCCACGCGACTTAAGGGGCCCATTAGATGTCTGGATGGCGGTGATCCCTCTTATATGTTATGCGATTGTCAAGTGACATCCCACTGATCGCGTGCTTCACCGATTTGGTTTTGTACAATTAATTCTGGAAGCACCTAAAAATCTCGACGATTTGCATAGCATCGATCGACGCGACAAAAAAGAAGTGGACTGGCTGTTGAAGCACTATGAGTGGGTTATGATATGGGATGATCGACGTGGTCGCATTCCTTGTACAAAACCCATTTACGTGAACCATTTGATGGTTACAGATATTTATTATGAGTGGTTCAACAGGAACGATAAACCATTCTTACTTTTCGATGAAGCACTACGCAGGAGCATTCATCGACGTTGCCAAAGACGTCTACCGTCACAACATCGTCGTCTCCCCACTCATGGACGGAGAGCAGGCGCTTCCGGTTTGTCTTTAGCTGCAGCACCAGAACCTTTACAGCAACCACCGTCTACACCGCTCTATATTCCGCAGTCGTTTCAGATGGCACCGCAGTCATATTAGATGTCCCACCACCATTTCCATACCAGATGTCGCCACCGCTGCAAAGTTATATGACCCCTCATGGAGGATATTATAGTTCCATGTTTATAAATCCAACTTGGGGTTCATATACTGGTTATTTAGCAGGTCCAACTTCACTACCGATGTTTGTCGCACAGACACCTCCTGTACAATTTTCTCACTCATCGGTGTTGGTCTTTTCACAATGTTCCCAATTTTCTATGAGCGGTGAGATAGTCAGTTATACACCTCTAGGGTCCTTATTCTATAGAGGTGCTACATCGTCATTCATCCCTCATCAACAAAATCTATATGCTCCTGATGATGATGATGAGAGTGAGGAGTCAGAACAAGTTATACGAAGAAATCCTCCTCGAGACAAACAACCACCGCCTTGCGGAACACATTCAAGACGCAGACATCAATAGATTCATACATTTTATTAATTTTGTATTTAATTTTTTTATTAACCAACAATTGTATTTTTTTAAATTATTTACCTTTTATTACTTAATTTATTTTTTTATTTTATTACTTAATTCAAGCAAATGCTTTTATTATTTAGTGTTTTTAATCCTTTTTCTTGTATCATTTTCTTGTTTAATTAATCAGTGATGCTCAAATGACATTAACTTAAAGTAAATGAAAATTATATTACAGAAACTTAGCTTTCATAAACAACAACTACATCAAGCACAACATCAACGGTTACTTGATGACAAAAGATATGTATATTTTTTCCTACTGTTCCATGGGTTTCTACAATGCCCACATATTTTGTTTACTCTATACATTTCCCAAATATCCCAAATATCCCAAATATCCCAAAAGATCTGGTACAATCGGAAGCCAATTCTGAACCTCATTAGGGTCTTTCTCATTACCTATGGGAGGAGAACTCAAATTCATATACCTTAAACACTTCTGATAGTAGGTATACGGGATCCACAAAACGATTATAGTCTTGACAGGTATGCGAGCAAGCTGCTATGAAATAAGAGCTTTGATAATTTAGTGTTTGAAAAAACCCACAGTGGCACCATCTGTCTCGTATATTAACTTTGAATGAGTTAGCTTGAATCCCTTGAAAAGGTCGTGAGATCTCTGTGACACGAAATAATTCATGGGTTCTAGAGAAGCTTGTTACAGACATTCAATTTGATGCATCAATTTTTTTTTGTAGATCTGTAACTAATCTAGGGTGATATACATGACCGTTTTAAATCCAAAAGAAAATATATCATTTTTACCAAAGTCGTTACTGGTAAATGACGTGTCCCCTTTAAGGTCGAATTGATAGCCTTAGCCAAGTTGGTCGTCATGTGTCCATATCGATATCCATTTTCATATGCATTTGTCCACTTTTCTTTATTGATGAGGCTGATGTAATCGTATCATTCCTCATTCTTTCCTCGTAACTCTTGAAGCATGGACTCAAATGTTTGAGGTAGTAGTTCGTAACCTGAGCATCAAATGTATAACTTACTTTGTTTCCATAAAAAAATGAAAATGATTGACAAATAAAAAATAGCATTTTGACATACCCATACGCACAAGTAATTGACACTCATCATTCTTCTTGAACATTCCATGATAGTTTGCAGTAATGTGTCGGATACAGTACTGATGTTGGACATAAGGTGGTTGTCATATTGGACCCTAAGAATCCATTACTGCTTTGATCCCAGCTCCGCAATCTAAAATGACACAGATTTTTCCCTCGTGATAACATTTAAATGTAAGTTTCAGAGGAAAAAAGCCCAAGAATCTGTATTTTCTCCTTCAATAAGGGCAAAAAAAACTCGAAGTGTGTTGCGATTACCATCTTGGATAACTACCAATAGTAAACTTGCTTGTATTTTTCATACAAGAATGCCCCATTTATTTGGACCACGAGCTTGTAGTATTTCACAATATTAATGCACTGTGGGTAAGTCAAAAAAATCCGGTAGAATTGACATCGATCGTGAAGCACTCGATCATTGTGGTATGCATGGCAAGTTTCGAAGTCCATAATTGTCCCAGGATTCAATATGTGCACCACCCTAAACCAACTTGGTAGTTCGTTGTAAGATGCATCTCATTCTCTGTGAAGTTTTTTAATGGCATTCTACTTTACTTTCCATGCTTTCCTGTATGAGACGATATACCCATACTGTGATTGTATAGCTGAAATCAACACAACAATAGCTATATGTGAGCTTGCTTTTACCATAGGCATGATGTCTTGGCAGATCATGTCGGAGTCAAAGTTGGTATGATCCTGGTTGATCCCTCCAGCACAACATGTATGAGGACCATTGTATATCGCTAGCTCTTATATATTTTTTTCCTCTTCCTCATCGATACACGAACCATCTAATTGCATCCGTTATCACGTTGGACACAATGTCACATACTTTTCAGTGGTAGAGCGGTCGACTCTAGACTGAACATAATTATGAATATTGTAATTTTTAATTGCCATCATCGCTTCTTCTTTGCATGAAAATTCCATTCCTTTATATAACTCACCATCATTGATTGATGAGTTAAATCCATAGTCACTAACATTAGGCATATCCGTAAACTCTGGCTCGTACATTGTCCCATAGTCAGCTTCATATATGTGTGTTGGAAGTTCAGTGTGTACCGTATTTGTGG